CAGGGAGGGGCGGGAGGAATTTGCTCTGATTTGAGGTTGACCTGATGCGTACATTTTGTTTTCTTTTTAAGGTTTGGTTTCTTTGGCGTTTCTAATCAGTTGCACAACTCCGTTTTCGGGGTGGCGGCCAGGGGGCTTGGGAGGGCTCTAACCGGCCACCCAAGCCGCCTCCCCCAAAGGTCCTTCCTTGACCCAGGCCCCTGGCGTGTGTGGGTGTGTGTGTGTGTGTGCATGCCGTGTCCGTGTGCAAGGGGCCGGGGCAGGGAGGGAGGTGTGCGTGTGCGTGCCCGCAAGGGCGGCTGCTGGTGTGTGCGAGGGGGCGGGCCACGTGTGCAGTGTGTGTGAGTCCGCGTGCGAGCGTGGCAGCAGCCCCCAGAGGCCTGGGCACTGGCTGAGCCAATCCTGGGGTTCCAGATGGCCAGGGGCCTCCAGGGTGCCGGTTGAGAGTTTGTACCCCAGCTCCGCAGAAGGGAGGGGGTTCCAGGTAGGGGGATGGGGCGAGCCTGCCCAGAATTTAATGTTGGCCCAGCTGTCTAAAGGGCTTGGGGGTCTGGGGGGGCAGCGGAGGTGGGCAAGTGCCCCTGTAAATACGGCCCCAGGGTGGTCAGAGGGTCCCGAGCCACCCGTCCCCCTTGTGACCTACCCCCTTTGACCTCCAGCTGACCATGCATGCCACGTGGCTGGCTGAGTTCTGGACCCGCTCTGGAGTTTGCCTCCCCCAACCCCCTCCCCATCAATAAAACTCTGTTTACAACCACCGGCCCCCATGCCTCTGGCTCTGCTCTGTGTCCTGGGTTGAGCACCTGGACAGCGGTGTGGCCCTGGGCCATTGGGAGACCCATGGCCAGGTCCCAATAGAATGCATTTATAGTCATGGCCAGGCATGACAAGTCCTGGGTACAGGTAAAAATAACATATCACACCTGGATATTTAGAACTCAACAAGAAGGAAAGCACTACAGAGCCAACTAGGTGCAGCCAAAGCAGCTTTCAAAGGGAAATTCATAGCCTCCAAATGCATTTATGAGGAACTGAGCAAGATCGAAAATAAATCGATCCGCGAGCGGCGCGAGCTGGCCCGTCGCAAGGACAAGGAGGCCATCCTGGCGCACGGCGGCGG